AGTTCTTTATGTCCGTCTCCTTTCACCCAATGCTGCCCGGCATATAAAACACATTTTTCCCACCAGATCAAGGAAAGGCGAAATCAGGTAAGGTCACAAAGTCTACTAATTGACTCCTTTGTGGCTGAGCACTAGCAGAGCTATCTATGTACAGACACATTTGACACACACACACACACACACACACACACACACACACACACACACACACACACACAAAAAAAAGAAGAGGAGCACAGTATTTTCCCGCCTGCATTGCATTAAGTCCTAATAAAGGGAGATGTGGGTTTTAAGTTCACACAATACCCTGGTTTTAGGACTTTGTCTCTGGAGGATGCATACTCTCAGTAACAAACACCAATAGCACCAGCACCAGCACCAGCACCAGCAGCAGCAGCACTAGTACTAGTATCATTACCATTATATTATAATTATAGCTCATCATTATTGTGAAGGAGGAGATGATGATGATGATGATGATGATGATGATGATGATGATGATGATGATGATGATGATGATGATGACAATGATGATGACAATGATGATGACAATGATGAGGTTGATGTTGATGCAGGTTGATGATGAGAATGATGATGATGATGATGATAGCAATAGTAATAATAATGGCTATAATGGGACAAATAAGAATAATGATAAAGAGGAAGATAATGATAATAGTAGTAATTTTTGTAATAATAGTAATAACAATAACAATAGTCATTATTATTATAACTATTGAATTATCATTATCAATATTGCTGTCATCATCATCAATATTATCATTGTCAATGTCAATGTCTTTGTTCCTGTCATTATCATTTTTATTATGATGATGATGATGATGATGACAATGATGATGACAATGATGATGACAATGATGATGACAATGATGAGGTTGATGTTGATGCAGGTTGATGATGAGAATGATGATGATGATGATGACAATGATGATGACAATGATGAGGTTGATGTTGATGCAGGTTGATGATGAGAATGATGATGATGATGACAATGATGATGACAATGATGATGACAATGATGATGACAATGATGATGACAATGATGAGGTTGATGTTGATGCAGGTTGATGATGAGAATGATGATGATGATGACAATGATGATGACAATGATGATGACAATGATGATGACAATGATGATGACAATGATGATGACAATGATGATGACAATGATGATGACAATGATGATGACAATGATGATGACAATGATGATGACAATGATGATGACAATGATGATGACAATGATGATGACAATGATGATGACAATGATGATGACAATGATGATGACAATGATGATGACAATGATGATGATGATGATGAAAATTATCTATATAACAATAATAGTGACAATTATAACTGTTAACCCCTTGCTGACAGGCATGGCATGTACGTACATGCCATGCCCACTGAGAGTTTACTTGTTTAATTGTTTTTACACATAAATAGTTACACTTGTACTAAGTCACCAGTGAGCCAATTATGAGTACTGCCTGTCTCGCACGTTCACCGTTTTCATTGATTTACAAAAATATTTTACTTTTTCTTCTTTTGCTGTTACTAATGTTTAAATATAATAAAAATAACACCATTGATATTCACAGCACTAGTAATAACTACGTTTTTCCTGCCAATTCTAGGAAAGGTGAAATCAGGTAAGGTCACAAGATCTACAAATTGACTCCTTTGTGGCTAAGCACTAGCAGAGCCATCTATGTACAGAGACATTTCACAAAAATATAAAAAATGAGCACAACATTTTCCCCATTCTTTATTCATTTTTCCCAGCGGCAATGGGTTAATAACAGAATTCACCAAAGTAACAGCAAGAAGAACTTTACAAGTTATTGCAAAAGTGAAAACAAACTCTGGGATCTCCTAGTAATAGATAATATATTCACTGGATAAAATTAATGACTGATACGCATATTCTCTACTATGCCTAACACCGTTAACCCATTGCTGCCGGGGATGGCATGTACGTACATGCCATGCCCACTGCGAGTCGACTTGTTCGATTGTTTTTACACATAGATGGCTACACTTGTACTAAGTATCCAATGAGCCAATTACGAGTACTGCCTGTCTCGCCCATTCACCCTTTTCATCGATTTATGAAAATATTTAACGTTATCCTAATTTACTGTTAAAAATAACACCATCTATATTTATAGCACTAATAAGAATACGTTTTTTCCCGCCAATTCAAGGAAAGGTGAAATTAAGACTAGAAGAGCCATCTATGGACAGAGATATTTCACAAAAATATAAAAAATAAGTACTGCAGTCTCCCCATTTTGTTTATAATTTTCCCCAGCGGCAATTGGTTAATATGTCTGGTATACAGTAATAAAGAAGTTTTTTCTTTACAAAAATTTCAATATTTCCTTTTTTACCAAACTGTGAGTATAAATATTCCAATTATAATTTCTCTCTTATTATATAATTCTAGCTGCTTCTCAAATACCAAAAATTTATATAGACAGAGATAAAGACAGAAATATATAACTGTCACCTGCCTTGTTTTTACTAATTACTAATAGTTTCAGATTCAATAACCTCAATGCAGTATTAAAACCATGAAGCTGTAGATATATATTACTACTATTAGTAGTATTTTCATACACTGAACTGTAATCATCAGGAAAATGAGAGTACCTTTCCATATCTACATATAGACAATTAAAAAAATGAAAGATGCAACCAGCAACCAATCAAGCAACAATCAGTGCTAATTTTGTGGTCAAGTGAACCGAGAAGTACATCATTGTCATACTGAAAAAATAAATATTACTTTCTTCTGATATTGAAAGAACATTTGATGCTATATAATGGAGCAATTTGTTATAAGAAACTATGCCTGCAGTGTTCTAGTGATGCTGCAGCAAAGGGCAACAAACACATCTGAGTGTATTATGACAAGATGATAGTTGAACTGTGTTCATGTCAACAAATGTAGAAAAGGTATGAATGAGAATGAATAAGTTCACAATAAAAGATATGTTCAAACCCAGTTAAATATATTTAATTCTCATTCATACCTTTTCTATATAAAGATAAAATTTTGTAGAGATCTCTCCCTTCAGAATTATTGTCTCTTAAAGATTTGGTCCAAGTTCTACTCTTCATTTTGTAAGATTTTATCCTAACCAATGTTAGGATAAGAGTAAATGGCCTTTGTCAGATTACCAAGTGTAACATCACCAGCAACTGCTAATTGCTGGTTTTATTCAGACAATTATCATTCTTGTTCTAGATTAATGTTTTTCTACAGAATTATCATACAAATTAAGACCTGAAATATTCTCTATTTCATTGAAAGGTAAGTATATTCTCTATTTCAAGAGGCAAGAAGTTTAAAAGAGAGAGAAATTGTTTGTATTAGGATTTATGGTTTATAACAAAATCTTTTTCATTCCCATAATTACTGTATCTCCTTACATTTGCAGCAAATTTCCATTATTTTATATATATTGTTTTGGAAATTACAAAAACAGAAACTATAAAAATTAATTCCTATGATAAAATATTAAGGAGAGTTCTTGGCTAATGTCCACATTCAAAAGCTTGTAACCACTACAGAAGGCAAACAACACAGTTGCCATGGTGACAGTGCATTACTTGACTTAGCAAGCAAAAATCTAGCCATCTACGGGGGTAGCTTGAGAAACCATGAAAATTTCTTGATATCTATATTTAGATTCTAGGCAAGAAAATTCCCTGCTTAAAATGCCTTACGGCATCTTTACGGCATTGATGCACTCAGCTAGGGCAAATTGAAGAGAATATTCTTGTAGAGGACAAAAAGTTATAGTAAATGGTATCAAATAATCAGGAGACATGATTAGTAATGCCACACATAAAAGAAAAAGCTTGCAGCCAAAATCCATACTGTGCTCAAAAGCTTCAGTCCACATGGATATGAGGTGAAGACAATCTTTCTTGGGAGGTGTTGGGTGGAAGAGCCTCCATCAACCCTTCCTTCGAGCATAACCTTGCCATGTCAATTCAGATTGTTGAAAAAATTTGGTGACATGGAATTGGGGACTTAGACTCGGACGAGTGAATCCATACTGTAAAGAATTAGGACAATATGTAGTATAAGGTAGTGGCAGAGTTGGGTAATAAAAGCTACATGAAATGACAGAACAATACAAACCAAGACAAAGTTTTTCTATGGCAATATGTGTGCAAATGCTTCCCAAGGGTGCTAGGTATATATATTACCCCAGGACAGAGCCCCCTGGCTGGGGAATATATACCACGGTGTTAGGTTAGGTTGGCTGTTGGGTTAGGTCCCCCATTTGCACAAGGAACAATGCCTAGAATCATTGAAAGCAGTGGATTTCATGCAGAAGAATATCAAAATTGTTTCGAAAGTAACACATTTTCCCTTTTCTTTTACATAGAGCACCCTTGGGAAGCATTTGCACACATATTGCCAAAGAAGAACTTTGTCTTGGTTTGTATTGTTCTATCATTTCATGTAGGGCTTATTACCCAATTCTGCCACTACCTTATACTACATATTGACCAAGAATTATCCCATTTTATCCAACAATTTAAGTTGCTGTGACTGGGCGTGCTGATGGGCTCCGTCCTCCCTGCAGTGTCCCCTTGGCTTGCACCCCAACAGGGCTGGAACTCGGAGGCCCCGCGCGGAATAAGCCATCCGCGATTTCTCCCTCAACTTCTGCCATTACCGTGTTTGTCTCTGTATTATTTCTCGCAGTGACGACTAACGTTTTGTCCTCTGTAGGAATATCATCTTTGATTTGCCCTCACCTAGTGCGTCCACACCTTAGGGATCAACCAGACATTTCCGTGGCCTGCAAACACAAGCTAAATCTGGCCAAAGCGAGAGATCCCGGCGGGAGACCATCTATTTCAAGCGCACCCTCTTCATCTTCTTCCCTCGTCGCAGCTGCTCTCTTCCCTGTTTCACCTCACACTTCCGAATTCCACAGGCATAATTACACACATAC